TGTTCCTTTTTGTTTTGCCTCATCAGATTCCTCCACCATATTTTCCAGCTTTTCAGAGAAGGGTCAGGAAGCACTGGTTGGATTGAAGAGGAAAAAGATTATATGAGATATGGGTCCTAGGAAAACAAGGGTGGAAATCCTAGATAGCCAACCTTGAGTAAGTGAACCACACTAAATTTAGGCTGTTTTCATGTATAAAAATTAGATATGAAGCTAGGCGATGGTGGCACATGCCTTTAGTCTCGGTGCTCGGGTGGCAGAGGCAGAGGCAGGTGGATCTCTGTAAGTCTGAGGCCAGCCTGGTCTTCAGAGCAGGTTCCAGGACAGCCAGGGCTACACAGAGAAACGCTGTCTTGAAAAGACTTTTCAAAAATCAGATATTAAAGACAATTTCACATAGTTGACAGGAGGACAGAAATAGCTCCTGCAGGGACCACTTACACTGTCTAACTCTTAAGGGTTACGCTAATCCATTTTCTGTTGCTATAACAACATAGTTGAGGTTGGGTAAGTTTACTGAGCTTATGGTTCTGGATGCTCATGAGCATGGCACCAGCTTCTGCTGAGCTCTTGCCGGGGATTCGTGGCCACACATCATGGGAGAGGGCAATTGGATGGTGAGAAAGGAAACCTGTGTGGGGAGGGTCACTCTTGGTTTTTTTCTGGTGAGAACTAAATCACCAACATTATTCCCTCCCGAGGGCGATGCCCCTGGTGACCTAGATCTCTCAGGAGGCCTTGTGTGTAGAGTGTATGTGGGGGGGGGGGGCACAGGTGCTGAGGCCAGAGGACAACTTGCAGGAGATGGCTCTCTTTCCATACGTGGGTTCCAGGGATCAAACTCAAATTGTTGAGCTCGAGAGAAAGAGCCTTTACCAATGCGTCATCTCACAGGCCAGGCTTAAATGTTTAAAAACGTGTTTTGTTTTGTTTTTTAAATTTTTAGTTATGTGTATGAGTGCGTTTATGTATGGAGTATGTGGGCAGTTGTCCTCAAAGGCTAGATGTGTCAGATCCTCTGGAGTTAGAGTTACAGATGGTTGTAGGCTGCCTGAAGAGGATGCTGGGAACTGAACTCAGTCAGGTCTTCTATATAAGCACAGTATGTTCTCTAAACCAGTGAGCCCTCTCTTCAGTCCTAAGCTCAAACCTGTGAAGGTTCCAGGACCTCTCACATGTGAGTCCCTGGGGGTACAAGTCATATTCGGACTGGAGTAGTAAGTTCTGAGTGCCAGTTATGCATCTTATTTCTGAGTATCCTTTAAAGGGAGATATAATAGGGCCAGTGAGTCCAAGGTCAGTAATACCAAGAACTAGAATGTTCTTGGCTAGCTTGCCACCTCTCTGAGAACTCCCAGTCTTCCCAGGTTTCTTGGACTGGGGACAGGACAATGCAAGTGCCACTGGAGGCAGCCGGAAATGCAGGTGGTTACCACTGATGGCCCGTGCCTCTGGCCGTCCCCAGGGAGCATTGTAAAGACCCTCTCCATCATGATTCCTTGCTCCATCATGGGCAGCTATGACCCCTTCAGACTGCCCAAGCTACAGATTCATGTTTCCAAACTCACTGCTTGAGACCTAGTGTATCTCTACTTGTCTTCCAGACCTCCTCTAACTGTGGTTATAAAAAAAAGAGAGAGAGAGAGAAATCTTCAAATCACTTCTCTAAATGGGTCCAGTTGCACGACATTATTGAGTCAATTAATAAAGACTGTCTTTACAAGAGCCCTGAGATGCTTACTAAGTGTGAGTCAGGTTTACTGACATTGTCCTTGTATGTCACCCTAAGATTTTTGGAAGCAATCCTTCACTCTTAGATGGTGTTCATAGAGTTGCTGATGCTCATGGGTGCTTACTGAACATACTCAGCTCATGTGAACCGGAACAAATTTTTGTTTGTGGCATGCATTGCATCCCACAGACTTGGGTCCTCACCTATTCTGAGGGCCTGTGTGAAGCACTATGCCACGTTGGCATAGCTGCTCTCTGTACTCAGTCCCTAAATGGTGTCTTAACCCGAGGAGGAAAACAATTAGGTACATGGTGGTATGTTTTGATTGTTGACTTCTGATAGGCTTTATTATTTGGATACAGAGACTCTCCAGGGTTTTGGCTCTGGTAGATGTTTGTCTGCCATCACTGCAGCGTACAGTCCTGGGAGGCATCTTGGGTAGGATTTAGAACCAGGCTTAACTGGATATAAGCTTTTGCTAAGCTGCTTAACTGCTGTGTGACCTTGGGTAAGTTACCTAACCATACTGAGCCTCAGTAGATGGATGTGTAAAGACATGGCTGGGTTACTGTATAGATGGGAACTCAGATAATACAGCTCAGCCCAGGACACCTAGGAGGCCTTATGTAACAGACATAATAGATTGACAAAAATAATGTCTGCCAGTTTTATATGGATGACAACATCTGATCAATTGTTAGTGGTTGTTGGTTCAACGTTGGCCGAGGGCAGCCACTTAGAACCCAGAGTTGCCACCCTACAAGGTCATTCACCTTCTGAAAGGGCCACAACCCAGCAAGTTGGTTACTAAACAGCCCGACCAATCAGCTGTCCTGATGAACTAATTGCTGCCGTGACCTGTCTCGGGACCTTTGACCCAGAGGAGAAGTCTCAATTTCAGTGCTGCCCTGGGAGTCTGCAGAGAGCCCCACATCAGAAGCTGCTTGCCAGGGTGTTCAGCAGGTAATGCAATGCCAGCAGAGGCCCACTTGTCTTCCCAAACACCTTACCTTAGGACTGCTTCGAAATCTGAATGTGTGTGATGCGGGATACACATGAACGTACAAGCACATGTGCACGTGCGTGCGTGCATGTGCATGTGGTGTGCATGTGTGTGTGTGTGTGTGTGTGTGTGTGTGCACGTACACACTCTGATGCATGAACATGGAGAGGCCAAAGGAGGGTGCTCGATGTTCTCAGCCACTCTCTGCTTCATTCCCTTGAGACAGGGTCTCTCACTGAACCTGGAGCTCACGGTTTATTTGTTCAGCTGGTGGCCAGCCAGCCCCAGCAATCTTCAGCACAGGGGTTCCAGGTGCATGCAGCCAAGGCTGGCTTTTTACGTGAGTACCGGGGAGCTGAACTGAGGTCCTGATGCAGCAAGCAATCGGACCCACCAAATGCCTCCTCAGCATGGAAACTTGAACTTTTAAAGGTAGACTTCATGACATAGGATATTTACTACATACCACTTTTATTAGACTCACAAAAATTTCTGTCAAAAATTTTTAAGACAGTTTTTTTTGGGGGGGGGGGCTAGGCTCATTCTTAAAAAAATAAAAAGTTTTAAAAATTCTTTAGACACAGAACAAATAAGGATCCAGAGTTGTTTTGTAATAGCCTGAGGAATCTACTGGTCCCGTGTGACAATAGTAGAGTTGGAGAAAGCTCCTTTCTTGTCACTGACCCTAGCTGGCACGGTGGAAACCATTCAGCTTGTTGGTTTGCATTGTGTTTCTCAGACTTGCCTGGGAAGTCTGATCTTGGAGATAAAAATCCTTTTCCTGGTGGGATCTGCTGCAACCCTTTTAGTTCGAGGAGAGATCCGCCTCGGCTGGGTCGGTTCCATCCCACAGTACCCACACCCCTGCCTTTTCCCATACTTTGCTCTCGCAAAGCCGTTTGCCAGGCTTCCATCCTGTGACCCCAGGTTAATCATCTCACCTTCCCTGGCTGGTTTCCTCATTCTTAAATGCCATGACTCGGGCAGCCAGATGATCCCCCAGTGAGCAATCAGAGAAGCAACTTGAACTCCAAGACTTCCTGACCCCACACTCACTTTCCAGCGGGAAGGGAGACGGGTACATCAGGACGGGCTGGTGCTCAGCATCTCTGCACCACTGTGGTCCTCTGAGCCGCTCAAAGCAGCCTCTCCCGCCTTCTCTTCAAGTGAACCAAACCACTTTGCTCGTGATTCTTCTTTTGCTGACATTACTGATGGGCCTGATGTATGGTCACTGTGCTCATCTCCAGGTTTTTTTTTTTTTTTTTTTTTTTTTTTTTTTTATTTTTATTTTTTTTGTCTCTTGACTACTAAAACACCAGCCCAGCATGGGATGAATGCTGCCATTTCTATTCCCAATGAACAATAGTCTGGTTTCTTATCTATCTGATACCATTCTCTTGTATCTGTCGTCTTATCTGAAACATCCAGCAATCTACAGGATAAAATGTTTTCCTACAATTAACAAATGTAGAAATGGGTTACAGCAGAATGGGCGGGAACCTCAAAAATAAAATAAAATAAAATAAAATAAAAGCCTGAAACCCCAGACAACAACTACCTTTAAGACCTTCAGAACCCACATTTCCATATTCTGCAAATGCATGTAGAGGTCAGGATATTTTTTTCCCACTTGTAAAGAGTGATCATTTGAAATAAAAATGGCTCATTGGACAGGCACAAAAGGGTGGGGAGGATCGCCTTGATTCTTGGAGTGCTGACTTAGGCCCATGGTGTTTCTGACAGGGCGGGCGGTGTCAGAGGAAGTACCAACTCCAACCCTGAACGTTATACAATTGAGTAAACAGACAGCTACAGGAAAAACTCAGGTCACAGTTGGCCACCACCTGTGGAGCTTTCAGGAAACACAGGAAAAGTGGACCAAGACAAATTCAGCCAGTGCAGGGCCCACCGCCTTCCTGCTAGGATTCCTGCTTGGAGCGGACACACAGAGTGTATGATCTCAGGAGGTGAAGTCCTTCTGCAAGGTCACTCCCTGGAGACTGGATGAATCACCCTTCCAGGAGAATAGACTAGTAGCACTTCTTTACAACCTTCTTGGCTATGTCCTCACTGACTTCCGAGATGCTGAATAAGAACAACCAGCTGCTGAGGGGAAGAGAGGAGCCACCCAGGACAGCTGAAGCAGCAGCCTCTGTGAGGGAGGCCAAGCTCTAGAGCATTTCTGGGTACAGGAGTAGCCGTTTTCATGAAGTCCCTGGAGAACTTGCAGACTCAGGTCTGCTTACCTATCTGTCTTATGCTTCCCCAGATTCCTGCTTCACGAACTTCCTTCCAGTTCCACTGTTTCCACACTACTCACTGAAACATGAAGTGAACTTCCTGTGAGACAAATCCTCCTGCAGCCCCACTGGGCTCCCCTGGGGGACGGGCTCCATCTCTGTGCTCTATGGGCCTCCGCTTTCTGCATGTATGAAAAGAAGCCTGAACAAAAATCTACCTTGTAGGATTGAAATCATGACTAGTATAGTGCTTGGTCATTGGTAGCTATTAATATGATCTGCCACCTCTCCTCCGCAGACTGCAGCCTCCTAGGGATGCGGGACCAGGTTGTTCATTTCTGTACCCCCCTAGGCTTGGCAGCTTTTAGCTGAGTAATAAATGTCTACAGGGCAGAACGGGAGAGGACCAGTCTGGCTAACCTCGCCTGAGCATCTGCTGCTCACAGTCCCGTGGTTCCCAGACTGCTAGTTTGAGTGATGCGCATTCGGTCCAAGATGCCAGCCTCCGACAGGCTCCTTTGTTCACCAGGACTTAGAACTGTCACGAGAGGAAAGGGTGACCTTCACACAGACTCCCCTTATGCTGCCAAAGAACAAAGACACGGAAAGAAGAAACGGAGCATCTTGCTCGGGAACATTCTAGAATGTGGCAGTAAGGGTGTGGGAAGAAACAGTTTCTCCATGGCTGGTTCACGGGGGAGCCCTGGCTAAAGGGCTAGTTCTGGGAATCCATGCAGTGGCACAGGGGTCACACTACTATGCACACGGTATGTGTGGGTGGCACATAGATGTGACTTTTGCCTCCTTTCAGAGGTCAGGTTTGTTGAGAGGTTTTCAAATGACCAGGAAAGTCCATTCAGTGTCTGCTTTTATGGAGTGAGGGGCTATAAACCTGCAGTGCAGACCTTTAGCTGAGACAACTTACCTCTAGGCTGAGACACCAACCCACCAGCTGAGACGACTTACCCCAAGGCTAGGACACCACCACACCCAGCCCACACCCTCACCCTCGGGGGAAACCAACAAAGCAGTGGCTGTGGGCAGAGGTCGCTTGAGTCACTGGAAATCAAAGCTTTTGAGCCTGCCTGAGCTCCCAGACAGTTCTCAGATCATTTCTAAAACTGGAAAGTAATGTTTACCTCCCCAATGGTACCTCCCCTTCACAGAGCGGGCCAAGTGTCCTCTGGCCCATTACTGTCTGCTGAGTGGCACCCTGCAGACCTGTCTGCAGCATATCTTTATGACACTTAGTATAATTTTTTCTTCCTCATTATTATGATTTATATAAGCTCTTGTGTTCTCATCCTTCTGCAAAGCCTCCATGGTCAGATATGAAATAGGTCTGTTCTCCTCTAGCACACGGTGCCATCCATGCTGTAGGGAATTCTGGGAATATTCTATGAATAAACAAAGGTAAAAATCTATCTTGAGATTTCAAAAAGTTTGAAATGCTTTAAAAATAGTAAGAGATCTCGTGTAATCATTTAAGGATAAAATTTGCCTTGTGATTTGGGAAACCTAACTCCTTGGAGGGTAAGGAAGAAAGGGTTTCTTTCTTTTTCTTGTGTGTGTGCATGTGTGCGTGTGTATTTATATGTGTGTTCCAGCGCTTGTGGGCACATGTGTGGAGGTGCAAGGTTAACATTGGGAGTCTTCCTGGATTTGTCTCTACCTTATTCATTGATACAGGGCGCACTTGAACCCAGAGCTCTCTGAAGTGGCTAGGCTAACCAGCAGCTTGCTCTGAGGATTCCAGGCCCTGGAGTTGGGTCTCCACACCCATCTGGCATTTATGCGGGGTCTGAAAATCCAGACTCCGACCCTCAAGTGTGCATGGCAAGTACTTTAACCACTGAGCCATCTTCCGAGCTTTTTCTTTTCATCATGCCTAGTCAGTCTCCAAACCGCTCAAAAAACTGTACTGGATTTTTTAGTCCTTTCAAATCTTCATTGTTTGGCACAGTTTGGACAGAATCTTTCTCTCCCCCCGCCCCTTCCTTTTTTTTAAAAGATGGAAATATCTTTACTTATTAAGAAGTGGACCGCCAGGTGGTGGTGACGCACGCCTTTAGTCCCAGCACTAGGAGGCAGAGGCAGGCGGATCTCTGTGAGTTCAAGACCAGCCTGGTCTACAGGGTGAGTTCCAGGACAGGCTCCAAAGCTACACAGAGAAACCCTGTCTCGAAAAACCAAAAAACAAACAACAAAGAAAGCAGTGGCCCAAGCTTAATGTAAACAACTAAACAACATACAATAGAAAGTATAAAATATAACTGTAGCTAGAGTTTTCCTGCCTTGCCCACAGTCAGGACAAATCTTTGTCACCCGCCAGTCCCACAGCCGCTCAGACCCAACCAAATAAACACAGAGACTTATATTGCATACAAACTGTATGGCCGTGGCAGGCTTCTTGCTAACTGTTCTTATAGCTTAAATTAATCCATTTCCATAAATCTATACCTTGCCACGTGACTGGTGGCTTACCTGCGTCTTCACATGCTGCTGGTCATGCGGTGGCTGGCAGTGTCTCTCTGCCTCAGCCTTCTGCTTCCCAGAATCCTCCTCTCTCCTTGTCCCACCTACTTCCTGCCTGGCCACTGGCCAATCAGTGTTTTATTTATTGACCAATCAGAGCAATTTGAATACAGACCATCCCACAGCATATAACTAAGTCCGTTTCTAAGAGGTTACTTATCGGTGTCTTTCTATAGTCTTAATGCAGTGTGATACACAGCACATTTGTAGTCCCCTGAATTGACTTTTAAAAACTAGTACAACGTCATGGCCTCCTTTGCGCCTGGACACATAGGTCCCATTGTTCCTCAGCAGTGCTCAATTCTCTCTTTCTTTTTGAACCACTGCTAGAACGTCAGACAGATTTTGTGTTTCACTATTACAGGCTACCCCTGCACGAAATCCTTGCACATAAATCTTTGCCATGTGTTTCTCCAGTTACCCTTAAACGTAGACACATGTAACAAGGTACAAGCATTTAGCATTTTGAGAGCCTCATTTTCCTCCAAACACTTCCTGCATTTGCTTTCCCAGTCTCTAGCCCCTAGAAATTAACTAGCCCCGTAGACATCAACACAACCCATTGCACATCCCAGTCTTTTCAGGTTTTCCCCGATACATGTCGGAAAACACACAACTGATGGGCTTCCATAGTGTGGTAGGTGGGGGAAATACTGTGTATTTTCCAGCTGTTCTTATGTGCAGTTCCTGCATTCTTTTTAACCTTCACCGTAGTCCATGGGCCGAGTTAAAAACCTTTAATTCTTGTTTCAGAATCTTGGACATGAAGCCTTGCCCTGGCTGTCACTGCAAGTCGGTGTGCTTGTCAGCAGGGCACTCCTTGAACTTTCCCTGAGTCTCTTTCCCTGGGCTGGAAGGGCCAGCTGGGAGAGGACAAGGCCACCTGAGGAGGAACCTCCCCCGGGCTCTGCACATCTTGAACTTTTGCCAAAGCAGGAAGAATGACCTGATTGGGGTGTTTAGTTTCTTTATCTGAGATAGGTCCTCTTTTCTGACCAAGCCAAGGTGGAGAAGGAGGAGACAGGTGGCCCAGGGTGTTGGCATCAGGCCTGTTGGGAAGCGCTGGCCAGGTGAGAGGTGATGAGCAATAGTGTTGCCCCCATACTTCTTCCCAGCATCCCATTTGGACAGATCCAGATGCTCTCACTATCTTCTTGCAGGGTCCTTTGAGCTGTAAATTCATTTGCAAATTACTTTGCTGCTTCAGTTGCATAGGAATATTCAGAAGATGCTACTGTTACATAGAATTTAACTTGAGCTACCAGGGAGGGGTATTTGATAGTCCAAGGTTATCTTACTTCTTCCCAGTGGCCCAGCAGGTAAGTGGCTTTGTATAGAGGCCAGAATGGAAAGTTCCATAGCCTAACATGCCACAGACAACCAAGGCCGGTTTTGGTGGAATGCTTTGTAAGTGTTACTGCAGGCTGCGTGGACCATGGCCACAGTGTCCTGTGTGGTAGCCCGCAACTCCATGTGGCCACTGAGCCCTTAAGAGGGAGGCTCAGTTCAATTCAGTATTAGAAAACTTTTAAATGATTTCAACAACTTGGTATTTGAGAGTGCTTTTCAGTAGTAAATTGTTGCTGGTCTTTCTCGTCAGACTTTCTTTTGGAACTGCCAGACCCCAAATAATGACACAGAGACTTATTATTAGTTATGAAATGTAGTGGTATTTGCTCTGCCCATGACCTTGGGCTATACTGCCTGAAAGAGGAGGTGCTTCTTGTCTACGTACATGACTTCTTAAAAGGAAAGGGATAGGGGTCACATTCTTCTTCTTGGTGTGATCAGACAGCCAGGCGCAGTCACTCCCAGACAGAACAGAGACAACTTCAGCTGTTTACTCGGTTCTGTATGGGTGAGTGTATTTCCTCAATTTATAGCTTAATAAGTCCCTATTACCCATTAAATAGACTCACATGGATTGACCTTAACAATGAAAGCTTGGCCTTGGCTTAGGCTTGTTTCCAACTAGTTAATCCAACTGTTAAATTAACCAGTTTCTACTAATCTATGTTTTGCCATGTGGCTCTTTACCTCTCCTCCATTCTGTACATCTGACTCCCTCTGTGTCTCCCTGGCATTTCCTGCTGCATCAGATTCTAACCCTGAACTTCCTCTCTCTGCCTGGAAGTCCCGCCTATTCCCTCCTGCCTAGTTATTGGTCATTCAGCTTTTTATTAAACCAATCAGTTGCCTTAGGTAGATGAGGTAAAACATAAGACACATTTTCACACAGTGTGATCAAATATCCAGTAACAGTAAATTTTTATCAAAATTAAAAACCAAATAAGGTTGGAAACATTTTTTTGGAAACATTCTATTTTTAATTATATGTATATGCAAATGGGTATGTGCATGTGAGTTCAGGTACTGGAGGAGGCCGGAAGGAGGTGTCAGATCTCCTGGAGCTGGAGTTACATGTGATTGTGAGCTGCCCATCATGGGGCCTGGGAATTGAGTTAGAGTCCTCGGCAAGAGCGGCAAGCGTTCTTAACTGCTGAGCCATCTCTCCAGTCCCTGAGCAAATGTTCTCATGAAAATTTTGTAACTAAAGTGAAATTTGTTTTAAGTGGGAACTAGATACTTGCTTTCATCGGTAGAATATTGAAGAGAATGTAAGGTAGCTCAATGATGTTTATACTGATGACATTTTAAAAAGAGAATTCCAGATAAGCAAAACAGAATATGAAAGTTAATTTAAAAAAAAGTTAATTTTCTCTGGTTTCAGTCTTTATGTTAATTATGCAGTTCCTGGAAAATGGGAACTTCTTGGGTGCTCACTCATCCATTCCTTTATTAGGTGTTTATTATACACCTAATACATGCTAAGTACTAAGAAAGCAAAGTAGTTACAAAATTCACAAGAGTACCTTCTAAACCTGCCCTACACTGGAAGGAATACGTCTGCACGTGTGTGGGAAACTCCCTAAGATGTGATACGACTTAGGACAAATATTAACATCCACTTTCTTCTAAGCTTCATGGATTAAACTCCTTGCTATTCATCTGTAGACTCTATGGCTTTAGGAAACATGTGTAAGGCTCTGGTTTTCCTGTAAGTTTCCCACTCACTACGTATAGTAGAGTTGGTTCCTGGAGAGATCATTTGTGGGAGAGAACACAGGCTGCTCGCACAAGTCCTCCATAGCACCCGTCGGTGTGGGGTTCCCTAGAATGCTGTACAATCTCTGTATCAACCCACGTGACTAACAGCCTTTGCACTGAAGGC